GTGAGTAAAGGAGAGAGAGAGAGAGAGTGTGTATTATATAGGAGTCTCACTGGAGAAGGTATATAGAGGACGTGAAGTGGATGCTGAAGCGGTTCACTCCACTGGAACAGTGGAAGCACTAGAAGTAGGTGAGGCGTCACACTAAAGACTATGAGATAGTAAGAGAGACTCCGACGGAGGCCCCGTGCTTGCTTGAGCTGGCCCGCGGTCGGCGCCAGCGGGAGCGAGCGAGCGAGCGCGTGAGAGAGAGAGAAAGAAGAGGCGTAGGAGTTTATTCGGTGCTGGTTCCTCTCACCGGGCCGAAGGGCATCGCAGAAGGCTAGTGGTGGTGGTGGTGGCGGTGGTGGCCGTTGTAGTGGCCGTCGTAGGCGACAGGTGCGTGTTCACTATCTTGTGTTGACGACGCGTTGGTTGTAGTACCGTTAGTGCGGGCGAGTCATCGGACGAGTTGAGTGAGCCAGTGAGCCAGTGTATGTGTATGTGTAATAGCGTAATGTGTGTCTGTGGCGACGATCACCCCAACGAGTTGTGCTGCCTGTGTGACTGGTGTGAGTGCGGAGTACTGCGGACAGCAGAGCGGCATCGAGCGCGCGGGGAGATGTCCTCCTCTCTCTCTCTCTCTCAGTTCAGATCAACTCTCAACTTATTGGCCCCAAATGAGTGCGCATGTCCGGACACCAGCACTGTGCCATCCTCAGCACCATCACCACCACCACCAGACGATCCCCTTCAGTGGAGGTGCTGTGGCTGATGGTGGCACTGTCCCATTCATAAACACTGGCAGTGTTTGCTCGGGGAGCCCTTCAAATGAGACGATGATGATTGGCTCCAGTGGTGGTCGTGGTGGTGGTGGTCATTCGGTGATCACCACNATAAACACTGGCAGTGTTTGCTCGGGGAGCCCTTCAAATGAGACGATGATGATTGGCTCCAGTGGTGGTCGTGGTGGTGGTGGTCATTCGGTGATCACCACCACTCTCCTTTACTGAGACCATTCAGATAGAAGTGATGTGTGTGTGTGTGTCTGCGACTCAACACAAATCCCAATTGGTACAATGATTCCTAGATTTTTTGTTTCCAATAACGGCGCACTATCCATCACCACACACTGCCTACCCTGCAATATCGTTAAGCTCCTTTTCGATGATCTTCTTGTACTCCTCAAAGCCGCCCTTCAGACAGGTGACCGATCCGCCGGAGCAGTGCCACAGCTCAGTGCAGACGCCGCGAATCAGCGTCTGGTCGTGCGTCACCAGAATGACGCCGCCGGTGAACTCGTTGAGGGCCTTTGCCAGGCCTTCCACCGTTTCAATATCGAGGTGATTAGTGGGCTCGTCGAGGATCAGCACGTGAGGACTAAACGGGAATACAAAAAATTAAAACAAAAGTTATCAAGAAANAGCACGTGAGGACTAAACAGGGATACAAAAAATTAAAACAAAAGTTATCAGGGTAAAGCAGGCAGCCTCTGTGAAGAAGCAGCCACCACTCACTTGGTCAGTGTCATCGCCGCAAAGGCCACTCTGCTCTTCTGTCCACCCGACAGGGTGGCCAGTGACTGGAGACTGAGGTCGCCGGTGATGCCGAAGCCGCCCAGGTAGCGCCGGTAGTGCTCCTCATTCTTGCCCGGGTCCTTTGAGGCCATAAACTGCAGCGGCGACTGGTTCATGCTGAGCTGGTCGACGTGGTGCTGGGTGAAGTAGCCAATGGCCAGATTGCGGTGAGTGTGCCGAATGCCCGAACTGGGCTCCAGCTCGCCGGTGAGCAACTTCAGCAGGGTCGTCTTGCCGCTTCCATTGTCGCCGACGATGCAGATGCGCGACTGGAAGTTCGCATTCAGATTGACCCCTCTGAGGATGACCCTCTCCGGCGTGTAGCCAAAGGTGACGCCGTCCAGCTGGAGAATGGGCGGCGAGAGGGCCTCAGGGCTGGGGAACTTCAGCACCACCGGTGGCTCAAACTCCACCGCCTCCACCTCCTCCATCTTGTCCAGCTGCTTGATTCGACTTTGCACCTACAGAGAAAGAACAAAAGTTCAGCTACTGTTGCTGTTGAAAATCAGTTCTCCCCGCAAACTTACCAGCGACGCCCTCTTGCTGTTGTAGCGAAAGCGGTCGATAAACTCCTGCGTGTGCTTCCGATGCATCTGCTGCGCCTCGTACTCTCGCTGTTGATTGCGCAGCTTCTCGCTCATGGAGGCCATGAAGCTGTCGTAGTTGCCGCGATAGGTCTCAATCTTCCGCGCGTGAAAGTGCAAAATGGCGTTGGGCACCTCGCTGAGAAAGGAGCGGTCGTGCGAGACGACGAGCAGCGTCGACGTCCAGTGGTTGACAAGGTACCCGGTAAGCCAAATGATGGCCTTCATGTCCAACATGTTCGTCGGCTCGTCAAGCAGCAGCAGATCAGGACGACTGAAGAGTGCTCTCGCCAGGGCGATGCGCATTCGCCAGCCACCGCTGAAGGTCTTCGTCTCCCGGGCCTGCATCTCCGGCGTGAAGCCGAGACCGGTGAGAATGATGGAGGCCCGAGCGGGCGCCTTGTCCGCCTCCATGGCCATCAGCTCGGCGTAGACGGCGTTCAGCCTGGTCGACTCCTCCATCGACAGGTTGGTCTTCGCCGCCAGCGTCGCCTCCTCGGCGAGCAGCTTCGTCCGCGCAGTGTCACACTCGAGGACCGAGTTGAGCGCCGTCGTGTCGTTGCCCACCACCTCCTGCTCCACGTGAAGGATGGTAATGTGAGAGGGTATCACCAGAGAGCCATTACTCAGCATTTTCAGCAACGTCGACTTTCCTATACCGTTTCTCCCACAGAGGCCGTACCGGAGACCGTAGCCTGAGCAAAAGCAGCAATTTAGCGAGTTAGTAGTTGAAAGGTAAACAATGGAAAAGTGAGAAAATTACTTAGGTTGAGCTCAGCTCCCTGCAGGAGGACATGACTGCCGAAGGAGACGTCAAAGTTCTCCACCTTGATGTCCTTTGCCCTGTTCACTCCGCTCGCCTCCTGCTTGACGACCTTCTTGGAGAAGACCTGCGACGCGGTCGCCTCCATCAGAGTCACCGGAGCGGCAGTGTCCGACGCCGGTACATTGTCTCGCTTCTCCGCCTTCTGCTTCAGCTTATCCTCCGCCTTTTGGAGCTTCTTCGTGTCCACCTTTGACTCGACCTCCTTGCCGGTGGACCAAATCGACCTCCACGTCTCCTCCTTCACTTCAAAGTCGTTCGCCATCAGGCCGAGGTTGACCGGTTGCTGGAGAAGCTTCTGCTCGCCGTTGACCGCCGGCGTGCCACCATTAGCATCTTCCTTGTCCTCCTCGTCATCATCTTCACGCAGGACATTGTACAGCTTTCGGCAGATTTCATCCACTGTCGCCTGTTCGCTGGAGTTGGTGGCGAGAACGCCGGTGACACAGGAGGCGAGCACCTCCCCAACCGCCTCTTCTACTTCGTCTTTTGAGTTGAATGTCTCTGCGGTGAGCACCGCCACTAGGTAATCAGTCAGCTGCTGGTCGATGCTGGGAATGTGCGCCTGAATCACCGCTGAGATCGTCTCTGATGAAGCCATTTTGAGTAGAGGAAGAGGCAATTTAAATAAAACCTAGGGAATAAAGGGAGAGCGAGTTGAGAACAAGAAGTGGTGTTTACTAGTGCACAATCCACGCGGCACACTGCTTCCAGTTTTTGCACAGCTGATTGCACATTTTGCAAGTGCGGGGCGATACCTGGTGATCAAAGGAAGAGACAATGGTAAGCTTAGCAAAACCATTTACTATTGATCATTGAATTGATTTCTTTTTATTATGAATCATAGGCCTTCACATCCGAATATTATGAAAATCTTATCCGTTCTTGTGTGTTTGAACTTAGACTTTTGTGTCTCGCACTTCAGTGTGATCTGATAGATGTGTGAGTGGGCTGTGTCTGTGTGTGCAGTAAGTAATCATATAAAGAGAAAAATGAAGAGAACAGATAGACGGCAGAAGAGAAGGTAAATATGGGAGGGTGGGTGTGTGTGCAGGACAGCCAGACAGCAGTAAGATTAGACAGAAAGCTGTGTGCTGGCAGCCAAATGGAAAACAAATCACAAAAGAGCGCAGATCTTCAGATCATCAAAACTGGTATAAGAGAATAAATTAAAAAATGCACAAGGCACGATAACTGAGAATAATAAGGGCGTGTGTGTGTCAATGAATACTCCTTCCTTCCCTCTTTGCAACTGCTAAATAGCCGTGCGTAGGTGTTCGGGAGAGAGCGGAAGAGTGAGGGAAATAGAGAACAAGTAAGAATATAAATAGGGAAGAGAGAGAGAGACTAGAATTCGCAATGAAACAACAACAACTGTGCGGCACAGAAGTGAGAGAGCACCGAGTGTTTAGCACCAACGAAAAATAACAGCAGCAGTTCCGAAAGAAAATGGCCATCCAGGCATCCCCCTTCACTTGGACAGCTTGGAGATGACGCGAATGAGGGCGCCGTTTTCGTCCTTGAGCCGGACATTGTCCGCCTTGACGTCACCGAGCGACTTGAGCTCCTCTTCCTGTTCGCTGATTGTCCGCTGCAGTGCGCGCTTCTCCCTGCTCACCTCCTGCTCACGCCGCTTCTCCGCCTCCTCGAGCTCTCGTATTCTCCGCCGGAGGACTTCGTTTTCGCGCAGCAACTGCTTGCACAGCTTCTTGTAGTCCACCTCACCGGAGTCGGTGGTGCTGTTGGCGGTGGTCGCAGCATGCCGCAGTTCACTGTCCGACGCCAGAGACGTCGTTGAGCCACTTCGACTGTTCTTGCTGCTGTTGATTGCACTGCTGTTGCCGTAGCCCGTCTCCAGACTGCCATTGTTGTTGTTGTTGCTATTGCTATATTGTCCCCTAGAGTTCTTCAGCAGCGAGTCATTCTCCACCGAGTCAACAGAGTGAATGGAGGAAGCCCGCGAGGAAGACTGCCCTCGGTCAAAGTCAGAGTCGTAGTGCCGACCAGAGTTTAGCGACGTCGTCGAGGAGGCGTTGGATACTGCAGAGGAAGAGGTGTTGTTGTTGGCTGTTGTTGGTCGACTTGATGCTAATCTCGACGTCCTCGTCTGCGTGGAAGGTGCCTGTATAGGGGAAGAAAAGGGAAAACTGTGTTAGTCGGATTTGTCAACACCACTCAAACAGGTGGTCATCTGGCCAACTGTACAGCTCTAATGAAGCACAGCACACATCATCATTACAACAAACGTCTGCGGACTGTAGGAGGAGAGATTCGTCTGAGAGGAGGCTCGGAGACGACTGGCAGCAGAGGAGGTGGTCGGCTGGGCCGTCGACCGGCGCACGTGTGGACTTCGCCGGTGACTGGGCGTGCTGCCGTAGTGACAGCTCGAGGCGGCCGAGGAGAGGTACTGGTCGACGGCGGAGCCGCCCAGTGAGCCGCCCAGCGAGGTCAGCGAGCGAGACATTGGCGTGGAGGTGGCCAGTGTTAGGCGGTTACTGCTGCTGGTCGGCTTGCTCAGTCCGGCCAGTCGAGGGTTCGCAGAGGAGTGCCCCGAGGAGGACGAGCCCGACCGCCAGCCCAAGGACCCGAATGACATCTTTGGCGTGCAGGTGTGCGTGTGTACGTGCGTGCGTGAGTGTTTGGGTATTTAAAGATTACGGTGTATGCAGATTGCGCTCTCAGGCACTGACTGCTGCGACGCCAAATCAGCGAATGCAGCTTCGTCGAGTGCGACTTTTCCAAAGCAAAGTTAAGAGAGTTTTTGAGAACCACCGCCGCTGCTACTGTTGCCTCTGCAACACAAGTCTGAAAAGCGGCTGTTGTTTCTCCTGGTGAAACTGCTGGTGAAATGCAAGTTCTTTCAAAGGGCGTGTAAGTGTGTGCGTGTGTGTAAGTGAGAGAGAGAGAGAAAGAAAGAGCGCGTGCAGGAACAGTGCGGCGTCGGCGGCAGTGTGGATTCTATTTACGTAAACCTAAACTTACTGACTCTCTCATCAGCCACGACAGCAGCGGCAGTTAAGTTTATCGGAAAAAAATTAAATCCCAAAATAAGCAGCAGCAGCAGCAGTGAGGATATATCAATGTGTGAGCATCATTGCGCTGGTTGCACGGCAGCAGCAACTGCTCGCCCATACGGTTACCATCACCATCAGTGTTTGCCTGCCTGCCTGCCTGCCATCAGTGTGTCTGCCTTGGTGTCTGTCTGAATGNCAGCAGCAGCAGCAGCAGTGAGGATATATCAATGTGTGAGCATCATTGCGCTGGTTGCACGGCAGCAGCAACTGCTCGCCCATACGGTTACCATCACCATCAGTGTTTGCCTGCCTGCCTGCCTGCCATCAGTGTGTCTGCCTTGGTGTCTGTCTGAATGTGTGTGTGTTGCCTGTTCATCTGCTGCTGTCTGGGCTAACAAAAACAACATTTTTGGCGCAAGTCACACTAACCTAACCTATTTTGCTGGTAGCGGCAGTGAGATGGTGATTTTGGCGGTGATGGCAGGCTGAACCAAGGCAGAGGAATAAGTTCTAAGCTAACGGTGCTATTGTATCGAATAACCGACTAGTCAACCGACTAGTCAAATATTGGCAGTATTGAACGGGTGAGCGAGAACAGAAAGGAGAGGAGAGAGGAACTGAAGGCTGACGGCAGGCGATTGCGATAATCATTCAAAGTAGTGCAAAGAAAAACTGAAGAAAGAAAGTGAGAAAAGCGAGAGAGAAGAATCAAAGAGCCCAGGAAAAGAAAAAAGCAGCAGCAGATGCNGATTGCGATAATCATTCAAAGTAGTGCAAAGAAAAACTGAAGAAAGAAAGCGAGAGAAGCGAGAGAGAAGAATCAAAGAGTCCAGGAAAAGAAAAAAAGCAGCAGCAGATGCATCGATGGTAGTGATATCATCAAAAGCAAGAGCAGCAGCAGCAGCCGTCGCATCTGCACCGATGCTACTGTTTCTACTGCCACACCGCATGATAGTGCGTGGAGATGTTCTCTGGTGCAAGAGGAAGCGAGTGTGTGTGTGTGTTGTGTACGACTCGATGCCATATGTAGGCAGTTGTGTACGCCGAAAAGGAAGAAGAGGGAAAGGAAGAGAGAGAGAGGGGAATATGTGTGTGTGCACAGTATCACCAACATCGGGTAATCATAGTACGTACGCTTAGAATGACATCAAAGGCAGCATCGACGGATTCGGTGGCGGCGGCGGCAGTGGCTGCTGCAGAAGTGCCACTGCTGTTGCTATTGCTATTGCTGTTCGACATTGTCGACTCAAATGGATTCACCGAGTCAGCCATCGTCTCGGGCGAGAGGATCAGGCCACTCTCCGAGTCCTCGATTCCGGTGGCCCGGCGCTTGATGCGCCGCCGCTTGGCAAACTCCGCCGGCGTCGTCGAGCTGATGGTCATCGTAACTGAGGGTGGTGTGTCGGGCGTTGAAGGTTGCTGCTGTTCGGTGCTGTTAGATTTCCTCAGGTGCTGCTGCTCAGCGTTTCCGCCAATTCTGGGTGGTGCTGCTGCGTCGTTGTTGATCGTCACTGCTGGCGATGGCTGCTGTTCAATTTCAATCTGACCTTCTGCTCGGTTCAGACTGAGCTTCGGTGGCAGCTTTATCGTCCACGTACTGGTGGTGCTGCCGCTGTCACTGGTGGCTGTTTCAGCTGTGCTGCTCCCCAGTGAGCTCTCTCGCTCTGCTTCGGCGGCAGGTGTACCACCGGTGGTTGCTGTCGCAGCGATCGCATTGCTGGCGTTGGAGGTGGTGGTGGTGGTGGTGACTGCTTCAGTAGTTAATGATGTGTTTGCCTCATTTGCCGCCTGACTGGTGGCATTTACTTGCATCATAATACTATTAAAGTCTTGTTCAGATGAGGTGGAGTTTTGTGCTACAGGAAGGGGGTTATTGGAAATGACAAAGTTGAGGTTAGAAAGAGAGTTCTAATGAACAGCTGCAGCTGGCACTTACAAATCTCCATAATCTTTNATACTATTAAAGTCTTGTTCAGATGAGGTGGAGTTTTGTGCTACAGGAAGGGGGATATTGGAAATGACAAAGTTGAGGTTAGAAAGAGAGTTCTAATGAACAGCTGCAGCTGGCACTTACAAATCTCCATAATCTTCAGCGCCTTCTCCAGGTCCTCCTTCTTGACGCCCTGCGTGGAGCGGCGAATCTCCCTCTGTCGCTTGGCGAAGATCTTCCGCTGCGTCTCCGACTCCTTGGCGATCTTCTCCTTCTCCTTGTTAATCTCAATCATCTGCACAAACTTTGGGTCGTTCTTGCAGAGCTCCAGCACCGAGCTGGCGATGATGTTCTCGCTGGTCTTTGCCGTCAGCAATTCGGGGTTGGCGCCAAACTTGAGCAGCGTCTCAAAGGTCTCCGGCTGCTTCCAGAAGGCGGCCGCGTGGAGGGCGGTGTAGCCGTCGCAGTCGCGAAACGAGTCCAGTTCGATGCGACTCTCAAAGGCCGTCAGCAGCTTCACCAGCACCTCATTGTAGCCCTTGGCGGCGCACACGTGCAGAATGGTCGCCCCCGACAGCGGGTCCCGGGTGCGCTCAAACTCCGCCTTGATGTCCAGTGGCGTCAGCTCATTCGCCTCTATCCAGGCGGCAATGTCCCGCTCAATGGTCTTCAGCTCAATCTGCCGAAAGTCCTTCAGCGTTTCACTCTCCGACGCCGACTCGTCGTCGTCGCCGCCGCCCGAGAACAGCGAAGACCCCGAGCCGGAGACTTCGCCGTCCATCAGCTCGTTCATGCGAGCGCGAATCAGCATCTCGCAGTCCTTGTTCTCGCAAACATCACAGGCTAGCTCGTTGTCGCAGTTCAGCGCAAAGATGTCGCAGTCAGGGTGAGAGATGAGAATTCTGACGATGTTGGAGTTACCGCAGCTAGATAAAGTCAGGCATTAGTTTTGGGTTAAAAAAGTAACTCTGGATGTGCAGACGTACCTGGCACTCGCATGCAGTGGCGTCCACCCTTCATTGTCTTTGCAGTTGATGTTTGCCCCCCGAGAGAGCAGCCACCTCACCTGCGGCTCATTGTCGTCAATGCAGGCGTGGTGGAGGGCCGTCAGGCCGTCGCAGTTGGTCACATTGACGCCCCCTGCGTCCCTTAGCTCCCGAAGGCCCAGTAGCCGGTCGCACTCTTCAATGTCATTCTGGGCGCAGGCAGAGAGAAAGAGGGTGGTGGCGGAGAAACAGACTTTGGTTGTGTTGGGCCGTGGCGGCCTCAGCCCAGATGCATTCTCCTTCGCCTCATGCTCCTCAATTTCCCGCCAGCGACGCAGCTGCTGGGCTCGCCGTTGCAGTGCATTCTGGTTGCGGTTCTGGTAGGAACTCAGCGTGTCAAAACCGGCCGAGGCGACAGCCGCCGCGTTCTGGTAAATTGAACTCGAGTCATAGACGGCAGATGTTGAGGTGGAAGAGTTGAAGGCAGAGGATGAGGATGAGGTGGCAGCAGAAGCGGGAGAGGACGTTAAAGGCTGCGTGATCGTCATTGAGTTGGTTGATGTTTTGGTGAGGAAACGAAACGGAAGACGGGTTTCAGGTTAGAAAGTGAAGAAAAGAATGATGATAAGGGTTTTGGTTGATGAAGAAACTGGTGGTGGTGGTGGTGGTGGTGATTGGTGGGTAGTGGAAAGATTGTTGTTGTTGTTATCGTTGCCCATTTGATTTCGTGCCTTATCATCACTTGGACTTGGGCAGGATGACTGATTACGGTAAATGCATTTTTCAAGTGGTGGTTGATTAGATGGGCGAGAGTATTTGTTGTTATTGTTCGAGTCGAAGAGCTGTGCTGTGACCAGGCGATGGAGGCAAAACAAAAAATGAAATGAATTAGGTGCTGGTGGAAATAATTGATGAGTGAGAAAGGCAATGTCGTGTTGGAGAGAAACGCAACAGCAACCGCCTCGGTTTTCACTTCTTCTCCTTCTCCTTCTTCTCCTACGACAACTTGTAAAAGTCAGCAGGAGCAGCTGAATCGGGCCAAATGTGGCTGAGTGGTGGTGGTGTTGAGTGTGTTGGAGGCGAATTTCCACCGAAGAACGGAAAAATGTCGGCCGCTGCTGTTGGTGATTCTCTTGTACTGTTCTTCTGCTAGGCGATCACCAGATTCAGCTGTATCTTTTCATTGCAAGAACGGGAGAATGGGTAAGAAGTAGTAGAAGATGCTGAGACTGCCTTGCCTCTGTTCGTGGCAGTCGCTGCCGCTGCTGTTGCCTGTTGTTGCCCAAACTCTGCCTGCACAGATAGAGAACAGAAACAAGCACTGAGAACTCTCACAGCGCACTCTTTGCCGTGAGTGGCGCTGCTCAACCAGTCTCGGAGGATCCCGCAGTCGTCGTTGCAGTAGTAAATATCCTCAGTGTGAGTGAGCAAGCGG